TTGCCACAACTCACTTCTGATGTTACAGCATGGAGAACACAGAAATGAAGAGGCAGAATTGGAATTCAAACGAAAGGGCCAAGCAAATCCCCCAGTTTTAGATATTTAGCTTTTCATTCCAGTTTGTTTTTGTCTTTTCTTGTTTAGATAGTACTTTTAAACTCTTGCATTATTGGATGTTAGCTGTTTATTGACCTGATATTTGTAAATGGTCTAATTGGGTAGGTAAAATTACATAAGACAGTGTTAGAAACAAGAGAAAAATTTTCTTTTTATTTACTTTAAAAAAAAATACTATGGTGTTTTTAAAGTTAATGGCAGTGTATCTTGTGTCACTGGATTTCCAAAGTGTTTTATTTTGCTAAATTTAAAAATAGTCATGAGAAAGTAAAGAGAACAGAATGAGAGCTGAATGTTGTAATGGACTGTAGTTTGCTGAGTGCAATTTTAGATCCTTACAGGCATGCCTACGTACACACTCTATGTTGAATGTTAGGTTAGATAGTATTCTTCAGTTTTGGTTTTGAAACACTCTTGGGGGTGAAAGAAAACTAAAGATAAACCTTTGACAGTGTGGTCATGAGCCTCTGGTGGTTTGTGCAGGAAGACTAGGTGGTGTGTAGACCTGCCTGGCTTTTGGACCTACCCTCTGACTTTTCCACAGTTGTCAGATGCCATTTCTTCAGTCTGTCACTGTTGACAGTGACTACTTAATAGCCTACCTTGCCCATCTGGCCCTCAAATTCCTGTTGCTTATGTTAGTACTTTCTATGTCTCACATAGATGTTTGCGTGTGATACTCTATTCTTAAATATTCATAATATTGAAAACTTAGGTTGGGTTATAGAATTTAAATCATATGTCACTTAATACTCAGATATCCATTCATATGTGTTCATAGATTACTTATAAAATGAAATAATCGACCTCAGTGAGTGTTGTCCCTTATTGTCAGCTTGTCTGCCGGGTGTGTGTGTGTGTGTGTGTGTGTGTCTTGTTTTACTGAAATCAGGCACCCAGGGATGACAAGCCTTGTTTTGGTGCCTGAGTATATGTCATAGCAAGGTTCTCTGACTGCCATATGGAAGGTGGCATTCATACAAGGTCACAGTGAGTCTATGGAAAAGGAAAATTTCAATAGTGTGTGTGTGTGTTTGCATGTGCAAGAGTGTATATTCATTAATGTATGTGAAAGCATACATGCATGTCTGTACATGTGTTTAGAAGTGAGAGGTCAGCCTCAGATGTTGTTTTTCAAGAGATGACCACCTTGATTGTTGAGACAGGGTCTCCCAGTGCATGGAGCTAACCCAATAGAGAAGCTTATTTCAAGTGTGCACCAGTATACCCACCTCTTTACATGGGACATATTAATCAAACTCAGGTCTTTCCACTTGATCAGCAAGCACTGTAACCAGCAGAACCATTTTTCTGGCTCTATGATACACACACCCACACCCACACACACACACACACACACACACACACCACACACACACACACACACACACACACACACACACACACACACACACACGACCATGTCAAACCTACCTACACCCTTCTGGGTTTTAATGAATTTTCACTTCTTTAATCTGGGGATTCTCACCTAAAGGGAACACAAATTATGGATTCCCATGTACAGTAGTACACTAAAGTAGATTGCAACCCCATGTGTCTCTAAATCCAAATCAAATAAAGACACCATTTCTTTGATTAAGAGATGAACACCCCCTTATGTACATTAAATAGGACATAATATGCCTTTATATTTTGGTGAGATTTATTAGATTTTATAATGTTCAAATATGATGTTCAAAATTATGCATCATTTGCTGAGTATGTGCTTAAAAACAATTTATTTAAAATCCTAAAACTCGTGCTCAATAGTTTATCAATCTGTACACTCACCTGATGGAATACTACTTGGCAATTAAGAGAGATGATAACAATGGGAACTTAGATGGTTTCAAAGGCATTTTGCAAAGTAAAAGATGCCATAAGTTGACATACTGTATGGCTTCTTTGACAAGATAATTTATAAATGATAACATAGCATGTTGAAAATAGATCAGTGGTTTCCTTGGATGAGGAAGAGGAGGAATATTTTAGCATAGTGGGATAGAATGAAGGAGTTTTCTAAGTGGCAGAATTATTGTGAATCCCAATTAAGAGATGTTCAAATGTACATCTCTTTAAAGTCACAGCACTCATAGCAATAGGGTAATCTTGCTTTGAGTTGACTTGTGATACATTTTAGCAAAGCCAGCATGCCTAATTATTCTTATTGAGAACATAAACACCAACATCCAAGGGCAGAGGGCTATGAGCCAGTCCTTAGGCTGTAAATTTAATTGTGCTCCTTTTACTAAGACACATAGTCATAACTCATGGATCTAGTTATTATGTTTACAGAAGAGAGTGTTGCAGATTCTGCCCAGTGGGTAATTCCCTGGGTTCTGTGTATGAGTGCATGAGAGTAGTCTAAGTTATGTGTCTCCTAGCTGCTGTATCTCGTCCTCCTGTGCATATGGAATGCTTTTCTTTTCAGACTGTAATCATTTTCCTTTCTTCCTGTGTATATATAGTGTATGACAGTTACAGTGGCTATGGGAACCATAACTTTAAGTTCTGTGACTTCTGTGAGTAAAACCAGCCATAATGTTGAATTAATGTCATTGCTCACATGAAAGTTCCCTGTTGCTATAAGTGGGAAACTTCCAGTGTATTTAAATAAAGGCTTGACATTCATTTCTCAATAGTATATAAGTTATGGGACATATGGAGACTGATTTCATCATTTAAATAGCATATCTACTAAATAGAGTAAGGCTAGCATTGGAGATTATACACAGAGTGCCATGCTTTAGAATAATGTGGTTTAGCTATCTGCACAATTCAAAATGGAGGATAAGGAGCTGGAGAGATGGCTCAACAGTTAAAAACACTTACAGCTCTTGCAGAGGACCCAGGTTCAGCAAACTAACTTCCCTAACTCCAGTTCTAGCACCTCCAACACCCTCTTCTAGCCTCCAAAGACACAAGGCATGCACATGGTAACATGGTACACATGTGTACTTGTAATATACATTCATGCACCCATCTGCGCGCGCACACACACACACACACACACACCAAATATATTTAGAAAAAGTAGAAGACAGAAGAATACCATAACACTCAAAGAATAACAGGCTAGAATTCTGCTCCCAGCCATGGTAGCTTTGTAGGATTGCCTTCAGACAGAATTGTTCAACTGTAACATTGATTCATATAATAAAATGAAATGGTAATTGAGACTTTGCAGTCTGCAGAGCATCAGAGAGTGCTGGTTATTGTTGGTTCTTGGTGTTTAAGATCAGTATTTGTCATAGTAAATCATGAAGAAATTGAGACTTGCTAACATGCAGTATAAAAGACATGCAAGGAATCCTTTAACATCCAGAAAATTGGGTAAGAATCTCATTGTTGATGGCCCCACCTGTCTTGCCTGGGTGTCATTTTAGAAACAGTCAATCAAGGTGAGATCAAGAACCTGAAGGAGAGGTTTTCTTGGCACTGGACCTGTTGTTGCATTCTTGTCTGTCATTAGGCTGAGCCTCACATGGGGTGTTGGGACACTGATAGTACTTACAGGGGTAGTGGGTGTAATAAATGAAGTGTATCAGCCCCTAGAGAAAACTCAAAGTCCAGAAAAGTTTCTGTTCCTTCTTCGTAGGTGAGCTAGTGTGAATTGACCATGATGTCTTCATGCTCTGGGGACACTGGACCTAGGGTGGGTGAAGACAGAGAAGAGTTTGAGAACAGTAGAATCAAGAGCTCTGGGGCATTTGTTATTCCTGGCTGGAAGCTTGCTGGTATGCAGGCTATTTCTCTATGTTATGGTCTCCCGGCTGTTACCAAATGCAGCGGTGGTGGGTCAGGGAGCCTGATTGTTTGTAACTATTCGCCCAGCCTTGTGGAGGATGAAAAATGGTGCTCTTGTGCTGGAACTGTCTCAAGGTTTGTGAGTGTATGTCTTAGTGAGGAGCGGTGTTTAACATATCCCCAGTAGATAGGAAGCCTGGTGTCATCTGTTCCTTCAAGCATGGCCTACAAACCTGGGGTCTGTATTCTAAGCAATCTCCATAGCCCTCCTTGTCCCAAAACTGGTTGATAACATTGGAGTCACCCAGTTTTCATTAGAGCAAGACATGTTATCTTTGTTCATACAATTATTCAGTCTGATGGGCTAGGCAAATTGCAGCTTGCTCCGATTTCCAGGAAAGGGATGCATGAACACTGCCCTTTCCTGTTTATTATCCCTGCTGTGTTTCCCTGTGGCTGTCATCCTCTCATACTGTTTTCCAACTCTGTAAAAATCCTCACCTTTTCTAGATGTTCCCTCATTTGTGCACATACAACTAGACTAGGCAGGCTGCTGAGCGTCATACTTTCTATTGGCATGTGCCAATTCTGTCCCCCCTCCCTTCCTGGGAGCATATTGATACTAGGAACTACAAGCAACCCTATAAAGTCATTCTATGGGAATTCCTGGTTCTCAGTTTTGGGCTGACGATTAGATAGTTGCGGGCCCCAAGTAGTCTGGTTGAAAAAGAAGATTTCACAGATTGCATAGTAAAGGGCTTCCTAGTTTGTGGATGTGTTGACTTCTCTTGAGGATGGGCAGCACAGTTTAGTTTGCTGGATGCAGGTCAGGCCGTCCCACCCTTGAAAAGGGACTTGGCTATGTGTCCTCCTGGTCTTCTTCATAGGGATTAAAACAACTTGTTTGCTGTTTGTGTACCCAATCCATGCTGTAATAGATAACCTAGGTCTCAGAGGCCATGGCCCAATCTACACCTTTGAGTTCACCTCTTCTTGCCACACAGCTAACAAAGCCTCCCCCATATCTGACACCAAGTATGCAAATATCAGATTTCCAAAGGGTTGAGACAGAACAATGTAACAAGTCAATTTTCACTTGCTGTCCTAAAGCAGAATTTTCTTTTCTTTTACAGAAGTCACGTGGCAATGACGATCTGAATGCTTCTATGACATCTCAGCATTTTGAAGATTCTGTGAGTGATGTTCAGTACAAACTGATGTCAGCTTGTAAATACTTCCCATTGACTGTATTGCTTTGCTTCTTTATCTTTAAAATATATGGAAAGGTGCCCGCCTATAGAAACATGTCTTACAAGTTCTAGCTGGAAGAGATTAATTTGGGTTTATTGATTGGTTAGCCTGGAATAGATTTGTCTAAAAATACACAGTAACTCTGCAACTGAGTTTGGGAGGAAAGGAGGACAAAGCCCTTAGAAGTCCTCTGAAACTTTGAAAAGCAGCTTTTCAAGGGCAGCTGCAGCCACAAGATCAATTGATTGAGTGCCTAATGAATGAATAATAAATCATTCCATTTGTTCTTTGAAGAAAGTTAGAAATCTGACCCAGGCTCAAACATTGCCTGGGATTCAGACAATTCATAGGTACTTAAAAATACATGGGTTTGTTACTGGGGCTCATGACAGTTGATGAATTCCTAGAGAGGAAAGGGACAGAGCTTAGAGAATGGGGGAGCATAGGGGTAAAGCGAGACACCAAGGGATGATACTTAAGAGGGGAAGTAACAGGTGCCGAAGCCAGAGAGCACAGAGCTGACTGGGACTCAGGTGAAGAGTTTGCGTGATGGCCTTGAAGACTGTGAGACTAACGTTGAGAGTTGAAATTATAGCCCTTGTAGAGGAAGTCTACTCTAGTTGATGGGTATTGGTGGGGATAAATACAAAAAGTGGGAGACAGTTTACATTTGATGTGGATATGGAGGCACTCCTTGGTGAGAGCCAGTCCCTCTATCTTTTCATCATACTACTTCTTCTCCAATGTTCTGTCCTTACTTTTTGTTTATTCCCCACCCCCTTGTGTGTGTGTGTGTGTGTGTGTGTGTGTGTGTGTGTGTGTGCGTGTGCATGCGCACACGGTGCGCACGCGCGCGCATGTGTAAGTATATATATGTATATATGAATGCATACCTGTGTGTGGGGGTGAAGTTGCCTTTATGCATGCGGAGGTTAGAAATGGACATCCCCTTTCACCATTTTCCACTTGTCCCTTTGGGACAGAATTTCTCCTTAAACCAAGACTCATATAGTGTCTCTGCTAGTCTAGAAGCCAGTCAACCAAAAAGAGCCTTTTATCTCCACCCCTTTTAGAGCTGGAATTGCAGATGTGCATAGAATGTTTGGCTTCTTATGTGGATGCTGAGACTGGAACCCCAGTCCTCATAATTACATAGCAAGTGCCCAACTGCTGAGTCATCTCTTCAGTCCAAGTTTACAGTTTTATAATGAGAAATCTCACAATTATTTGAGGAGTTTAGGGGTTTCAGACCTTGATGTACTATTTATATAATTGTTGGAAAATTGTATTCATGATTCCCTCTAAATTCAGATAAAATCCCATGGGGGGAAAACATACAGTAATTGGCTGATAATATAGTTAATGACCACAATAACAAAGCGGGTTATAGCTAAGATTCATACTTGACCACTGTTTCTTTTGTCTTTCCTGATTATTAAGTAGTGTCTCTGCTTTAGTTCAAATTCATTGACTTAGATGCCTTTTCCATCTGTGCAGACACTTGGAGAAGCTGATGATTGCTTGAGTCACCTTCCCAGCCCCTTTGCATACCTCCTCACCATTCACCTGAAGGAAGGCCGCAACCTTGTGGTCCGGGATCGCTGCGGTAAGGCTGGTTTGTTGTATGCTTGCTCAGTAGCCTTAAAGATCCTCTCTGTTTCTTGGTATGAAGGCTTGAGTCAGCCATTGTCCATCTCACACTATTCAGAGAGGAGCTTACCTCTCACATTACACCCCCCCAGCTGCAGCCTCTTCCATATACATTGACTGTGACTTATTTAAATGTTGATATCCTTATAAAATAGTAAGGATACATAAGGCTATTTTAGAATGAGATAGTCATGATAATTTGTATTTGGCATGTAGAAAGTAGTTCAGAAAAATAGTCACTTGGTCTTAACACTTCATTGAAAAGAGTGAATGGTTTTCTAAGATGAGGCAATCAGATTCACTGATTGATGCAAATGTCCTTTCAACTTCTTCCCTCCTGTCTTGAGACCCCATAGGATCCCCTTACAGTCATCGTCTATTTGTCTTTTCTTTGTCTTTTATGCAAGTCTCTCTACAGTCCTATATATAGTTAACTTAAATTGAGACCATGATACCTGAATTGTTGTGCAATAAGTTTTGCTTTTTACTTTCCAATACATCTTCAAGAGAGACCATGATTTTCTGTGCAAATATACTCTCTCTTTTAAACCCACCATGTCACTTCATGTCCTTTGTATATGTGAGTCTCCAGAGAAGCTTGTTCATCTTTTCTGTATTCCTGGATCCCCACTTATGGATGCAATTTTTTTTTTCATGGTGGCCTATCATCAGTTAAGCAGGTTGATACATGCAGCATGGCAGGGTGAGCAAGTAGTACCTGTTGTGGTTTTTTTTTTTTTTTTTTTTTTTTTTCTGTTCTACTTTGAGCAGCTTCTGCCATCTGCCATTTAAGGCCTTTCTTTCTGGCTTACCGCCCATGCTATCTGTTCTTGTTTGACCACACATGCTTTGCTGGTCCTTGTGTAACCTCAGTGAACAAGGGAGTGTCCATCCGTCCTCTGCTATATAAATGCTGTACCTAGGCCCTTGTGCTCAACTGTACGTAAGTCAGCTTCTATGTCTTCTATCTGCTGCCTTGAAGCCTGGAGCATGGCTAGCTCATCGGTCACACCCATTCTCCTCCTTCCTTAACTCACTCCCTCCCTCCCTCCCTCTCTCTCTCTCTCTCTCTCTCTCTCTCTCTCTCTCTCTCTCTTTCTTTCCTCCCAAGATGGGGTTTGTTTTTTGTGTATCTCTGACTGTACTGGAACTCTTGTCTTTTGTACTAGGCTGGCCTGAACTCAATAAAGATCCTCCTGCCTCTACCTTCCAAGTGTTGTGGTTAAAGGCATGCACCACTACCACCTGGCATATCCTTTCTTCTTAATAAAAAAATATCTCTTTTCATGTGTAGTTTTCAAAACAGAGGGTATTTTATTTGTTAAGAAGTCTATTATTATTTTTTATTCAACATCACAATTTTTCTGTCATTTGAATAACATGTGTTTTGTATCTGTCAAAAATTCCATTTTTGTAGGTTTTGCTAATAGAAGTTATTTTTGATAAATCATTCTCTGTTACCAAAGAGCTCAGCATTTTCTTTGAGTTGTTATAAAATCATTCTTGTTTATGAAGCTTTCTGTCTAGATATAGGTTGGCCAACAGTTTATATACAAGGCCCAATAGTAGGTATTTTAGGTTTTATGACCCATGAGTGACATGTATTCAACTTGTGTTAATATGGTGGGAAACATCCATTAACTTTAAAGATTCCCCCATGGAAGGCTTCACCCTCTCTGGGGAGCAGAAAGGGGATGGAATGGGTTGGGAGTGAGGCTGGGGAGGAGAAGAGGAAGAGGAAACTTGGATTGACATGTAAACCAAGTTTGTTTCAAATTTAAATAAAAAAAGGAAAAACAAAACAAAAAGAATACATAGGCAAATCAACATGACTATGTTCTGCTAAAACTGCATTTAGCAAAACAATGATAAACTAGACATTGGGCTGGAATGAGCCACATACTAAAGTCAATGACCTCTGGCTAGAATATTATAATCTGATTTTTGGATTCATCCTCTAAAACATGCTTTTAATAGCATAGTGGCTGAAACCAATGTTTGAATAAAGAAGATGTGTTTTTTAAGCAATCATGATTTGAATTTCACACTTTTAATAGAGCTATCTAGGAAGCATTTTGGTAAAAAGACAAAATACTGCATTAATACCTGGAGTTATTGGGTTACCAAAAATCATGCTTTGGTATTTCTTTGAGCCTTGGTGTGAAAACTCGTTCTAGGAGAACTTAGACAACATCAAGAAAGTACAAAGCTGTGCTTAAAGGAGTCTTGACCCATAGGAAACTAGGGAGAGACGCCTCCCCGGCACTTCAGTGCCTCTGTTGGCCAGGGCTGATGTTGAATCCTTTGCTTCTGCCTTTGAAGATGTTGAGACTTTCTTGAATTTTTTTTTTCAGTTTTTAAATACACAAAATTGTTAGGTGCTTTTTTCTTTTTCCTTCCTTCCTTCCTTCCTTCCTTTTTTTTTTTTTTTTTTGGAAAGATTTAGGAAGGAACTTGTGGTGTCCTTCTAAGAGTAGGAGTCTGCAGCTGCCACCCAGAACCCACCTATCTGTTGCTTATGTTCTGTTGATGTTTCTCTCTCTCTCTCTCTCTCTCTCTCTCTCTTCTTCTTCTTCTTCCTCCCTCTCCTGCTCCCCCTTTGTCCCTAAGTCTCCCTCTCCATCCCTTGTAAACATGACTATACACATGTGAATAAATATGGATGTAAGAACATTGTTATATGAGGCCAAGAGCTTTAATTACATAACATTAAAAGTTTGGGCACATATCAAAGATTGCAGTGGCAGGACTCTTTCTAGTGTACAATTATTTTCTTGGGGTTCCTGACATGTCCCTTTTCCCACACCACACTAGACCCATTTTGTGCCTAAATAAGGGGTTTCTTTCTTTTTCTCTTTTGGCAGGCAGTTCTGCTTGTTGTAGTATGAGCCTGAGATGCTGTGCATTGTCCCGGCATGGCCTTGAACTCACTCCGTTAGGAGAAACATCATGGCCATTTCCCTCTTAGTAATTGGATGTTTGTCCCTGTCTGACCCCCCTGTCCTCTCCTCTCCTCCCCTCCCCTCCCTTCCCCTCCCTTCTCCTCTCCTCGCCTTTCTTTGTTCTTGTATTTACATCTTTACAACATTCATGTCTTACTTTATATCCCAAATTTTTTCCTACTTTGGGGCTGTAAAATGACACCTGTTGTATTGTTTTTGAGCACATAAGACTTGATTTTGGTGTGGTCCTGGTCCAGGAATTTTGCGTCTTTGAGAAAAAGCTTAAGTGATATGACGTGAGCATCTGTTTTTCAGTGCAACTGCTTCATGATTTGGTTGGTGCCTAGGGGAAATTGGATCATGACTCAGTTTCCTATAGAAGGGAATGTAACTGAGAAGATACTTGGTGTCAACAGCGTACAGGTAGAACTCAGGCCAACAGCCTTATCTTCCATACTCACACGGTCCTGACATTTCTAATATAGACAAAGTCTCTTGACCACGGGAAGACTCTTATCTCCTGCCCTCTCATACCCTACATCATGAATTCCTGGAACTGAACAACACCCACATGAAAGCTATTTTCTCCTGGATGTTAGGCTAGCTCAAGTCCATAGCAGTGGCCTTAAAATAATGCTTGGGTTATTGGTGCCCTCTCCTGGCTCCTCTTCAGTATTGCAACGGGAAAATGAAATTTATTGTGACATTCATAGGGCCATAACCATCGCTCCCCCTGTTTTGAAGGCTAATGGTTTTCTTTGGGATGTGATTTTTTTTTTTTTGAAAATTCATGAAGCATTCCAATACAAAATATCTCATTATTCATATCTGGAATAGATAGGCAATTAACATTAGTTTATAGAGAAGACATGGCTTCCTCTTCAGACTTCATCCAAGGTCAGTTTTGAAAGAGGTGACTTAAAGACCAAGAGTGCCAAGACTGCACTAAACATGAGTTTAGAAGGCTGGTAGACTCCCACAAAAGCGTCCCCGTGGTCAGGACCTCTAATTTAAATCTGCTCCACTTCGAAAGCTAAGTGTCATGATTTTATCTTCTCTTTGTAACAAAAAGATAATCATGTTGGAACTACAGACAAACATAGCCTCCTTGTGTGGCTGTGATGATGGGCAGGCAGGTGTTTCTGGAACTCTGTTGCAAAATGAGCAGCATCACTTGAAGGACACTTTTTGCATTGGTGGTGGTGTTAAAATCTTCACTTTAATTTTGATTCAGAAAATGCTGCTCAAGACATAGCGACCAATATGGACCAGGTCCTCACTAGAACTTTAAGATGAATCTCCTTTTGCTGATATAAGTTAGAGAAAATGGGTTTTCCTTGCTATAGCATAATAAACCCTGGTTTTTGGGATGCTCTGACACTTACTTTTGTTTCCCATGTGTATTATTCTCTATTACAAAATATTTAAGAAGAAAAAAAAAAGAAACTTTAGAGACATCATGCTCGGTTGAATCAATGTTTCAATTAGGTTATTTGAAAAAGTGTATTTTTATTATTATTTTTTTCTTATTTTACATATCAATCCCAGTTCCCTCTCCCTCCCTCCTGAAAAAGTGTATTTTGTTGCTTATTATTATTATTATTATTATTATTATTATTATTATTATTGTGTGTGTGTGTGTGTGTGTACTCATAGGTATGTGCATGCTCCCATAATGTGTGTGGACGCATGTATGCCACAGCATGTGTGTGGAGGTTACAGGACAGCTTGGGGCAGTCAGTTCTCTCCAAGTGCTAGTTCTGGTGATTACTGCAGGTCACTAGGTTACCAGGATTGTGTGACAAATATCTTTACTCATTGCAGCCATCTTGCAGCCCCCCACCAATTTTTATTATTACAAACCATGCTTCCATAAATGCATCTGTATCTTAAAGCATGTGTACAGCTTTGGTCTTAACTTCTTTACAAGTCAATTAATGATTTGCATCGATTTCCTTCATTCTTCTGAACATCCGACGGGTTCTTATTACAAAATTGGCAGTCTTCTCCAAAG